TAGCTATTACTTACAATTTGTAAATATTGATGTGTAATTTATGTAAATAGTATACTCGTATGATAATTATACCCAAATATCATGATATTGGTATGTAAATATGTATCAATTTATTTATTGTGTATAAATATGTATTAAGGTATTAAAATTATATCAACTTATAACTGTGAATATTTGTTTTATTTCCCGCTCTATTGGGTAGCAAAGTTATTCGATTAGAAACTATTAATAGCTATGAAACCAATAACTAAGTCCAAAACTATTTACATGATTAATTAAATTTACCCGCAACTCTCATGCTCCTGTTCGCTCCACAAAATTAAATATTTGTCAAATTAATAGTTAAGGGAGAGTCCGGTAATTTGGACCAGTTTTTTTCAATCCTATTTTACACATAGTTTTCTTTTGTTTTTGCTAATGTTCATGGTATATAATTAAAGAGAAATTATTTAACTTACTATTTCATAGGTATTAATCAACAAAATTGTTGTATATTTAGCACAAATGAACAAAATACGAGTTCAGAGCTTCGGTCCAATTTAGCCAACCGGTTCGATAATTTGTACCACAGGGTTAGTAAATTAGATTTCAATAAATTTCAAGCCTATAAAAAAACTATGGCAAAATATTATACGATACATTCTTAACAAATTAGGTAACGAAAAGGAACAGTAGTTAATAACATAGACAATCGATATTGTTTTACACGTTATCACGATTTTGAGTAAAAGTTTTGTAATTCCAATTATCGTCACGCACACTCGTACCTAATCTACTTTGCCAGTCTTTTGCTTTCATTTATTGTTAGTCAAACATAACTACGCTATTATAACTTCAAAATATGATTTACTAAAAAAAATTTCAAAATCCTTTGGTAAAGTTCCATACAACTTGATGTGGTACAATTTAGCCGACTAGGTGATAGTGCTTTTAAAAAATCAGTAAAAAATATAGCTTATAAATACCGAAAAATGTTTCAAATAATTGTAATCTACACTAATTTACGCTTCTGAATAATATATTAGAAACACCCTGTGATTAAATTTAACAAAATTACAAACTAAACATGCATTGTCAAAAGTTACTTGAAAACAATGAAAAAATACTTTTCAAAATAAAACACACGTGTTCGTTGTCACGGCAAAAACCACATGGCCGATATTAATTGAATTTAATTGTGTATCGCTGAGTGTTGCAATTACAGACATTCAATACCTAAATACTTTACGAAATATGAGGGTGGTACAATTTACCCGGCGGTACAATATGCCGAACTCTCCCCTACTATTCCGCATTTTAATGAAACTCGAACTGGCAACCGCTCTATATTGAGTGCGAATCACTCGACCGAGATGTCAATAATCGTTAATTATAACAGGCGAAAATAAATTCAAGGAGCTTTTATTTTGTGCAATGAATGAATTAAAACCAAGTATTATCATAATTAATTACTCAATTTGAATCCTCCAACAGCACGTTCGTGTACCTACTTAGGCTGGGTGCTGTTCGGAAGGGTGCTCTAACGCCATTTTGATAATAATCAATCTCAACCCAAATCCGTCCTTCAACTGTCAGCAAACAGGTGTAAGTGAACTACGTCGGTCACGAGATGTTTACTCATGTTCAAATTCAAATTCTTTATTAGTATCTTCAGGTCAACATATCGGCTGGTGCTGAAACGAAATGACAGAAGAAAATCTGTCACCTTCGTCTTTACCAATTATTTTTTTTGTTCATCAACTTATTTACAAATATTATATTGTTTACCTAGTCTAGTCAATTTAAAAATGTCGCTTAGGTCTATACTATTTCCAGGAACAAATTGCAATACTCTATCACCGCGGACAAATACAAATGTTCCCAGGAAAAGCGATGCATTGTATTGTGCCTTTAGCGAGGTAAAACGCAAGCAGAGCCGCGGGCTAAGTCTAGTCATGAATTGTTCCAGTCTGGTTGACTGTGATAGATGGGTTCGTAAACAAGGGGCTAGCTTGATTATTCATCACGTCATAACGGGTTATTGAGGTCAAAATTGTTTATTGTATGTTCATTATAAAAGCACACTCATTATTTCATTAAACGAGTTAGCACATAGGTAGTACATTAATTAGATATTGTGCTACTTCATACTATTGTGCTAATACTTTTCGTGAAAGTTGAATTTGGTCACAAAAAATATCAAGAAGTTTTAGTTCAGCAGTAAAAACAGTCTGTTGACAGCACTTAAGACTCTACATTTTTGTAGCCAAAAATAGCGCACCTAAGTTAATGCTTTAAGATAAATAAATAAATAAATACCCTTGGACATTTTACACTGCGCCTCTAGTCCCAAACTAAGCAAAGCTTGTACTATGAGTACTAGACGACGGGATAAACATACTTAAATACTTTTTTTTTGTAAATACATACATATATTATACATAGAAAACACCCAGACCCGTCACAGAAATTAAAATTCATCATTTCAATTTCTGCTCGGCCGGGAATCGAACCCGGGACCTCTCGGCATAGTAGTCCGTTCTGAACCACTACACCAAATGGCCGACGATGACGAGATGCCTCAATGTTTAACTTGACTAATTCCGTCCGTCCCATAATTCTATTCAAGCATTTCTATAGGCCTACTCATCTTATGACCTACATAACTTCTGGTGAATTTGAAATGATTAGTCCACCATGGTGTATTGACCTATCTACCAATGCTATGTCAAATCATTATCGCCAGTGGACTACAAATACCACATTCGTTCATGTATTAATCGCTATGTTCCCAAGTCTTCTGTTAGCACAACCAAGGATCAAAACGGATTCCCGCCAAAGGAATATTAATAGGGTAATTAACAGGATATTGGAAGGATAACATGTGAGATAATTGGGTCACAGCCATTGGTTTTGTTGTAAACGAGGTTTGTGGTGTTGGTAGAGACTTCAAAGAAAATGACAATTAGATTGGTCAGTCATGTTGATATTGACGATTAATTTGCGGAAACACATACATTCTTCCAATATCATACCTAGCAATTTTATCATAGGCCGAAATCAACCGTAACCGTAGACATAAACGTATGTTAGTTAAGGGTTTCTACAAAAAATACATGACCAGTGACCACAGCAAATAACGGCACTGTGCCATACTCTGTAATTTAAAAATAATACTTTACTAAAAACACTAACCTCCTTATTATAAAAGTTATACATACCTACTCGTATAATGTGACGTTTAGTATGAAAATGATAATATTAAACTATTATAACTACAACACGTGTGTTACTTTTAGAAACGGGTTATGTACTTACCTAACGACTGTTACTGCGAAATAGCCATTCAGACTAGATCCCAAACATTAGCAAACTCATAACAAACAAACTCTAGAGTCCCTTAACCATTAGTCTCTATTTTTTCTTCAATACCTCTATTTCTGTTCCGAAAAACAAAAACGAAATCTTCGCACTTCTGTAGGTGTCAATTAGAGACCTCACCTATACAATAAAAAACAATGCCTGCATTTTACCGCCAAGATTGGGTTGTTTGAAGGAGTCATAACTCCCCTGAAGCGCACTCAAGCGGGGCAGGCTCAAGGGTGACCGTACTTAACCTAACGGCTTGATATCAAAGTAACAGCGCAATATTATGGTACTGAGATGTGTGCAAAGGTTAAGTTGTTTTGAAGTGAGTCTTAGTCTAGGTCTCGTCTCTAGTGTCTGATTGGTTAAATGGGTTGGTATTATGAGTGATAGAGTAATAACGGTCTATAGTTATAATAATAGCTGGAACTAGTTATTGATGAGTCTAGTCTAACCTAAGACTTAGCCTTAGCCTATTAGGGCTCAGTATTTCATTTTAACATAACTTTCAAATAAAATAACTCTTTTATAATGCGAACAGTTAGGGACTGAAATTCGCTGCGTGCTTGCTGTCTTTCCCAAACATTATAATCCGGACCTTTTCAGGGCGACAGTGAGTATCATCCTAGACTGAATCTCATTTAACACCAGGTGCGAATGCGGTCAAATAACTGCCTAGTTTGGTATGCATTAAAAAATAACTTGATGTCTTCCTCGTCAATACGAGGAATAATTCTTTTAATAATAAAAAATATTATCTCTCCAATTTTAGAAAAGCAAAATAATACGTTGATATCAAAATTAATTGAAAATTTACTCAGAATTGAATTGGAATGTACCGATATACCTACGGTCTATCATCTTTTATTCAAAGAGATAATATCTCTTTGAATACGGACAATTTTCAGATACAATTGTATTTAATATTGATATTTTTAATTAAAACGGCGTCATAATAAATGAAATTCCATTGCTACGTTCAAAAGAAGACAAAGGTAGCAATTTCAACTAGTTATGAAATTAAATTATTAAGCATTGTCTTTCAATCATTAATTTTGGAAAGTCGAACTTGTTGACAATTTAATAAGCGATTGGCTTTAGCGGTCGTTGGCTTCGTGGTCATTGACAGCAAAAAAACCTTAGGATTTCTTGGAACTGCTTTTGTACAGGCACGTTTTCAAATATTTGGCACGGCTTGGAATCACAATTCCGTAATTTTACAAAATGGACCATTTTCAGGTGGTATTTTTATGTTTCTTTTCATCGTGGAAGCATTTGGCTTAAGTTAAAAGGATTGATAGACTGAACTTTGCCACTAGAGGGAAAAACCTTGTTGATGTCAAGAGTGGGTTACAACTTAGAGTAGAGCGCACGAAATAAATAAAAAGAGACGGCACACCATCTAAGTAAAGTGTTAACATTATGGCATTTAATCTCGCTAAAACTAATGCGATTGTGCAATCAAATTTTTGGTGTACTGTTAACTATATCTATGATAATAATTCATCTTGAAATGACCTAGATTTATTGCATACTAATTTAATATAAATATTTTTTAATGAATTACTGATATTGTATGCAAAAAAGTCACAGTTACCTAAGCAACTATTTCAGTTTTTTGGACAATAGATAATTAAAATTACAACACATTTTTCTTAATGTGACGGCGAAATTTTATTTTTCATAAATCTTTCATACAAATACATTGCATTTGTGTTAACGAAATTAATGAGCAGGAATAATAATTCAAACACAGTAATAATGGATCCCCCGAAAGCTAACGAGAACACTCCTCCGTAAGTAGCTGAAAACAAAAATATTACATAACGTTATTATTTATTACATTATGTTCGCATTTTAATTAATGATAAAGCCGAAAAGCTGCTTATGATCCTTATTTATGACGAACATAATATTATTATTACAAAATGCGTAATGTGCGCCGTAATTGGTAGCTAGGTGGTTTTTACTTGGAAAAAGGGGCTTTGTCGATCAAAATCAGTGCTTTGTAAGGAGCTTACATTAAAATAAAAATAATATCAACGCCGATAAACGAAAGCGCCAAATTGTACGAATAAAGAAACAAACAGAAAAACTATCATCTTTACAACTTCAATCTAGAATGTTTTTGGCGCCAGAGCTTTGGTGCTTTCATTTCTTATAGACAAATTACTTTGTTAGGAAAAGTAGGATGTAAGTGATTTGACTTTAGGATTTTTTCCTCAAACTTATAAAAAAGGCAGCTCTAGAAGTCTTAGGCTGGATTGCACCACCTAGATTTGACCGTAACTATAACGATAACCGGTGTTTTTTGATTGTTGACGGTTGTTAAAGTCAAAGTGAGATGGTGCATCCCAGCCTTAATCTACGAGTAGTAAATCTATACAGTTTGAGTCACGTTAAAGTGTACATATGAAAATAGATGAAACTAGACCTATTTTTATCGACAAAAAAGAGGTCAAAAAATTTTTGAGATTTTTTTTAAATTTTTTATAGATTTTTTTTTTCCAATTACTTATTGTAAAGAAACCGTAATAACTTTTAAACTAAGCGGTATATCCTGATAAAATAAAAACAGTAATAATGCTAAATAACAGGCGATACTAAAAATATACATAAAATACACAAAAAAGACCAACAAATAATAAAAAATGATACTTTTTGAAAAAAATCTGCTTTAAAATTCGTGTTTTTTTGGTTATTTGATAAATTTCTCTTAAACTCTAACCCTATCACAACATTTGCTATGATCAAACAAAGGNAAAAATTTAATTTTCAGCAGTGGACGTCCTATCGCTGAAATGGTGGTGGTGGTGGTGGTACATATGTATACTGAAAATGTATCATTAGAAATCAACTACTGGGCCTAAGGAGATAAAAGGAGGGTTGGAAGTTTATATTATGAAAGTCCTATGTGTTTAAAGTAAGAGAGTTGAAATTTAAAATGTATGCGCTATAGGTGCTAAGAGCGGATTTTACGAAACTCCACCCCTAATGGAGTAAAACGAGGTCCACGCGTACGAAGTCGCGGGCGGCCGCTAGTAGGCTATAATTTAGGACGATCTGTGACAAACTAAATTTAACGCGGGTGAAGCCGCGGGCAAAAGCTAGTAGTTGATAAGAAAATCCTGCTTGTATTTTATTGTGGCGTGAACTACAATTGAAACAATGCACTCTTCTAACAAACAGTAAAAGACAATGTCGCGATGAAAATTTCCCGTCACTAGAACTGGGTCAAAACTTATAATACGCAATAAAACATTAAATGAGAAAAACCGTCACAATTTACATTAAGATGAAAAACAATGTGTGTTTATTGCTTCCTTCAATTGTTTCTATCTCTTGGTTCTTCCCTCGTTTTTATGCAATAATAGTCGGTATTACATTCTTAGACTAAAGGCGACAGTGGCTTGAACAGAATTGACAAAAATGATGTTGGGCGCTGACAGCTTTTGTCGAGGGTTTAATCTTGGGAGACAAGCGGAACATTCTCTTAAAGAGTTGATACAACTCGCTGGCACTTTAGTCAACTCTTTTCTTTAACTTCTTTTTATTCGGCCTATAAATGTTTTATTAGGTGTTCGGATAACAAAGGAAATTTTATTCGCAGTAAAATTTTATTTTAGTTGCGTCAGGAAGTTTGTCAGTTGTGAATTGGCTGCTTAGCGGATGCGAACGAGGCGCATTTATAAGGATTCGCTTTATGTGTTGCCAGTTTGGATCGTCCCGGGAGGTCTAAGTTTAAATCGGCGATTTGAATAAAAAAAGCTTTTAATGACATTGAGTTTTCCTTGATCGAAGTAAAACAAACACTGATACTTATTGGGTTTTAGCTGTAATTTAGTCAATGTTAAAATTAAATGTTACAGTAAATAAACTTATTTTTTTGGAATTCGACATTTAAAAAGTATTTTTAATTTAGGTTATCTGAAAATAGAAAGTAAAACTTTTAAAACTTGTTAAATGGTCAAACAGAAGTCTTTGATAAATTGTATTAAAACTACAACGTCACTCATATTATCGCATCATAGCCACAAATCGGTTCAGAGTGGTTTCACTAACTGTAATTATACGCACATTAAATTTTCTCAGAACAAATCCTATAAAATTACAAAACAGTATCAAAGCCAAACAATATCAATTACCTACCAACCGCTAAACAAAATGGCCGAAAGTAACTTGACTCTTCATGTACGAGTAAGTAAAACAAAAATGACCGAAAATAAACAGGATTCTTCATGTTACGCGTACTGCTATCCAAACACGTAATTAACCACGATACATCCCTGTCAATATGTTTGTTCTCAAGTTCGGGTGTCGATATCAGATACAAGAAGGATGACAGCATATTATCAAGTTAAGCAGTAGCGTCTTATCTCGTTGTATTACAGGCTATTTTGCAACAAAAATATACATTTTTGTTGCATCAGACCGTATGGTCTGATGTGCTATCAACCGTAGGTAAGATGGTGGTAGCTAGCCAAGCGGACTTACTACCAACCAAACCGAACAGAAAAATTTGCCCCCACTGGGAATCGAACCCGGGACCTCTGCGTCTGAAGCAGGTGGTCTTACCACTGGACCACAGAGGCGTTTTGCTTTTCATCTTGTGATTTTTCCTAACTTTTTTTAACTTTCTATCTTTACAAGATATAAGACTATGCTTAGGTTCATCAAGATCTGATGATGATGGATACAATTTTCAACCGACTTCAAAAAAAGGAGGAGGTTCTCAATTCGACCCATATGTTTTTTTTTTTTTTTTCTATGTTTGTTACGCGATAACTCCGCCAATTATGAACCGATTTTCAAAATTCTTTTTTTGTTCGATAGGGTACACTTCTGAGGTAGTCCCATTGTCACCAAGTCAGGATCTGATGATGGGATCCTAGGGAAATCAAGAGCAACCCTCAAATTTTATAGGCACGTATATCGTTTTTCAAACTTTTTCTTAAGTTATTCATATATTTGCTCCTGGAAATCATCATCTCATATTGATGAGCTGATGATAGAAGGTAAAAGGAGTTGGAGGATAATTCTTTAAATATTATAAGTACAAATAGACCAACAGTTGTATTCTTTCATGTTTTTAAGGTGGGCTGACGGTTTAAGGTCTTTTTAGGTTTCCTATATGGTAACCTGTATTTTGTAGGGAATATTATTTTACACTAGACATGAAGAGTATGGTCTCAATGTACTGCCTACCTTCAGTGGTAACATCAAGGTAATAATTAGTTAACTAAAAAGCAATAAATAAGTAAAATTTTATTAAAAAAAATAAAACCGACTCAAAAAAACCTACATTAAAAAGTAGAAAAATAATTACTAATAACCTACTTATTTATTAGGACGAATTAATATTTATGTAGGTATACCATGATTGATACTTTTGGAGTCGGTGCAGGCAAACTTTACATGTTTCATAATCTTGGCACCGACTCCAGAAGTATCAATCATGGTATACCTACATAAATATTAATTCGTCCTAATAAATAAGTAGGTTATTAGTAATTATTTTTGGAGTATTTTTTTGTGGAAATTCATAAACAATTATTTAGGGCATTATTTTTCCTTGCCCTAATTAATCGTCCTTGATGTATGTTATGCAATACATCTCATGAGTTAAGGCATGACAAAAAACTATCATGAAGTCTGACACCAGCCTCAACACAGATCATAATCGCTAGAAGGGGTGAAGTAACCATATAAAAATAATCGCCAGAACGAAGCGATTTCGGAATTAAAAGTCACTTTTAATTACCTATGTTACTTTGCCTATAGAGGCAGGGCTAGCCCACTCGAAAGACACTCGACTCTACAATCGTTATCGTAGTTTGCAAGAGAAACGATAAATCGATTATATCTTACTTGACGGTGATTAGATTCCGAGGGGACTGAAGTTCATTGATACGCGGCAGTAATTGATGGAGCAAAAGTTATTATCTACTGTTGGAAACACCTAACGGAGTATTGATCCACTTAGAACAGAAACGCTGAGGTAAGTTCTAAGTTGTAGTAGACAGATATAACACACTTTATTGTATGTAGGTACTACACCACACAAGACAAAGAAAAAAAAAGCATAGAAAGGAAAAAAAAGAAAGACATACACAAACGAGACGGCATAATTTAGGCGATCACTTTTAGAGTGATCGCTGATATCTTCCAAACAGCTGCAGCCTGGAGAATTTGTATATTTTATTTACAAAATTCTACGTGCTTACGGACCAGGATTTAGTACATTGCAATGTGTAGTAATTACATACAACATAAAGACTTCATTTTTATTAAAAGCAATGCCTTTTGCCAATATGTAATTATTTTAACGCAACAGAGCAGCATGATTTTCGTTTTGATAAAAAATACACGCTTCATTGCATTATTCTAATTAAATTACCTCGACAAAGTATGAAAAAAAAACAGTAATTTTCCAGGAATACATGTGAATCTTTTGATGCAAGTATGTGATATGATATTCGTACCATCAAAAAGAAAAAATCTGTTTAGGAATTTGGTGCAGTATTTTAAATTAATAAATGAATAAGTGCCTAAAGTATACCATCTTTTAACGCCGGCAAATGCTTCGCTAGCCGATGCTGGGGACGACCAGGGTTAAAATGACACTCGTATTCACAAACGATGCTTTCTTACAGTAAAGCAGCAACGCTGTGTGAAGTCGAACGCACAGCGTTGAATAGACTTCGGTGATTGCGTCGTGTGTGTCATTCCACCACTCAAGTATTGTATAAGAATAGGTTTTTGGGACCCTGTGCGACCACGCGCACTGTGAGACCTCATAGTAAT